TACTCCAGCTTAGGCTATTGGGAGCTCTTTTAGCTGTCCCCTGTGCCCCTTTGATAGAACCCCACCAGTGTGTGTGTGTGTGTGTGTGTGTGTGTGTGTGTGTGTGTGTGTGTGTGTGTTTAAGTATTGTCTTACTTTTTGGCACTACAAGATGAACTAGGCTGGGGGAACCTGAGTGACTCAGTCACCTGAGTGTCCAACTCTTCGTTTTAGCTCCAGTCATTATCTTGTGGTCCTGGGATTAGGCCCCCAAGTCAGTGCTTAGTGTGGAATCTGCTTGGGATTCTCTCTCTCCGTCTGCCCTTCTTCCTGTTTGCTTGTTCTCTCTCTCTCTCTCTCTCTCTCTCTCTCTCTCAAACAAATCTTAAAAAAGATGAACCAGGCTTATCTTGTATATTTCCTGTCCCAGTCCTGGAATCAGCCATTTTTCCAAAGAGGCTTACTCCTTGTACTGCAGAGTGGAGAAACCAAGATTTGGGTGCTAGGCATGCTTGTTGCTACTACGGTATTATTTCTTTAGGCCTTCTCATCTGACAGAGTAAAGAAATAATGTGTGCATACTAACTCTTATTTCATGAACATATCTTTAATATATATAGACCTAAAAATATTTCTGTATGTAACCAAATATTTCTGTATGCAACATGTAATTTGTTAAGCTTAATATAGTGGAGATTCATATGAAGACATGTCTCCAATTCAAATCTGCTACCCCGTGGATCATTCTAGCCTCTTTTCCCATGCTTATCTGTGAATTCTCACTCTAGGAGTGAGAAACCTTCATTCATTTACAGTAGGCCTGTGTATCAGTATCAGAATTGTTAAATGTAGTCTCATGTGTAAAACAACTTTATCAGGCAGATTTCCTTTTGCCTTCATATTTATGCATCCCAAAAGTTACTGAACTCAGCACCTTTCCCCTCCCAACCTCTTTCAGACACGTTGCTTCTTATATCTGTAATACAGTTAGATTCTCATGTCATCTTTCTGTTCCTTCCTGGGATCCCTTAATTTCCTAAATGATTTTCTTTTAGTTTGCATCCATTAAGTCTCACTCTCTCTCTGTGTGTGTCGTAAAGTTGCAAGTTTTGATAAGCGCATAATGTCACATATTTGCCAGTAAAGAATTAGAATAGTTTCACCTGAAAGTCCCCGTGCTTCATCTATTCATCCTGCCTCCAGATCCCCCACACTCCTGGCAACCACTGATTTTTTATTTTTTTATTTTTTTACTGTCTCTATAGTTTGTCTTTTACAGGATGGATTTGGAATGTAGGTAGGTAGCATTTTCAGACTGACTTCTTTCACTTAGCTTAGCAATATGCATTTAAGGTTTCTTCATTTTGTGTATTTGTGGCTTGATAGTTTATTTCTTTTGATGAATAGTATTCCATGTATCATGGTTTGTTCATCACTTATAGAAGGATATCTTGATCACTTCCAGTTTGGGGTAATTATCAATAAAATTGTTATGAACATTTGCATGCAGGCCTTAGTTTTTTGTGACCTAGGTTTTTAGACAAACTGGATAAATACCTAAGAATGTGATAACTGTTTTATATGATAACACTAGGTTTAGCTTAGTTAGAGACGCCCAACTGTCCTCCAAAGTGTCTGTACCATTTTACATTTCATTATCAGTGAATAAGAGTTCTGTTGTTCCATATCCTGGCCAGAATTTAATATTCAGGTTTTTGGATTTCAGCCATTCTAATAGTTGGATAGTACTATCCCATTGGATTTTTCTTTTTCCTTTTCAGTTCGCTAACAAATGATGTTTGAGCATCTTTTCATATGCTTATTTGCCACCTGTACATCATCTTTGGTGAGGTGTTTGCTTAGATACTTTGCCCAGTTTTTAATTGAGCTATTTGGTTTTTTTACTGTTGAATTTTAAGAGTCTTTCTTTTCTTGAATACCAGTCCTTTATCCAGTACATGTGTTGTAATTTTCTCCAGTCAGTGGCTTCACTTTTTATTCTGTGTGCTTCACAGAGCGGTTTTTAATTTTAATGAAGTCCAGCTTGTCAGTTATTTCTATTGTGGATTGTGCTTCTGGCATTGTATCTAAAAACTCATCACAAAACCCAAGGTCACCTAGATTTTCTCCTACTTATCATTTAGAAGTTTTATAGTTTTGCATTTTACATTTAGGTTTATGGTCATTTTGAGTTAATTTTTTGAAAGATGTGAGGTCTGTGTCTAGATTTAGAGTTTTTTTGCATTGGTGGTTCAGTTATAGCATCATTTGTTGTAAAGACTGTCCTTTCTCTATTGGACTGTCTTTGCTTCTTTGTCAAAGGTCAGTTGGCCATATTTACATGGGTCTGTTTCTGGGCTCTCGATCATGTCACAATGTTCTACTTATCTGTTCTCTTACCAGGATCACCCTGTCTTGATTATTGTCGCTTTATTGTTTTTCATCTTTTTTTTTAAATTAATTTATTTTTAGAGAGAGCACAAGTGGGAGGGTCAGGGAGTGGAAAAGGGAGAGAGAATCTCAAGTGGACTCTGCGCTGAGCACAGAGCCCGATGTAGGGCTCAATCTCATGACCTAAGCAGAAACGAGTCTGATGCTTAATGGAGTTGGCTACCCTGGTGCCCCAGCTTTATTCTAAGCCTTGACATAAGGTAGTGTCAGACCTTTAACTTAATTCTGCAGTATTATGTTGGCTATTTTAGTTAGGTTTTCTGCCTTTTTATTTAAACATTAGAATAAATTTGTTGATATCCACAAAACAGTTTGCTGTGATTTGGATTGGGATTTAATTAAATCTGTGAGCCAATCTGGGAAGAATGGACATCTAATCAATATTGAGTCTTCCAGTCTGTGAACATGTAATATTTTTTCATTTGGTTACCCCTTCTTTGATTGCTCTGTCAGAATTTTCTGCATATATATTCTGTACATACTTTGTTAGATTTATACTTAGGCATGTAATTTTATTTGGTTTTAAAAATGGTATTGGGTTGTTAATTTCCAATTCCAGTTGTAGCTGGCTTATAGTAAAGCAAATGACTTTCATTTGTTAACTCAGTATCCTCTGATCTTGCTATAATTGCTTATTTCCTTTTTTTTTTTTTTTTTTTTTTTTTTTGGTCATTGATTCTTTGGGATTTTCTACATGGTAAATTTGTGAATAAGAACAGTTTTATTTTTTTCCTTCCCAATAAAATACATTTTATTTCCTTTTCTTATTTTATTACTAGCAGGATTTTCAGTATGATGTTGAATAGGAGTGATGAGAGAGGATATCATAACCTTGTTCTTTTTTTTTTTAATTTTTTTAAGATTGATTGATTTATTCACAAGAGACACAGAGAGAGAGGTAGAGACATAGGCAGAGAGAGAAGCAGGCTCCGTGCAGAGAGCCCGATGTGGGACTCAATCCCGGGTCTCCAGGATCATGCCCTGGGCTGAAGGCAGCACCAAACCACTGAACCACCCGGGCTGCCCATATAGCCTTGTTCTTAATCTTATTGGGGAAAGCATCCATATTCTTACCATTAAGAATGATGTCAGCTGTAGGCTTGTTGTATATGTTCTTTATCAAGTTGATGAAGTTCCTTTCTCTTCCTGGTTTGTTGAGTTTTTAGTCATGAATGGATTTTGGATTTTGCCAGAGGTGTGTTCTGTCATTTGATATATTGCAGGATTTTTCCTTTAGCCTCTTTCATGGTGGATTACATTAATTGCTTTCTTTTAAAAAAAAATTACTTGTCTAATGTTGAACCAGCCTTCTATACCTGGAATAAATCCTACTTTGTCACAGTATATAATTCTTTTTATACGTTGTTGGATTTGTTTTACTAATATTTTGGTGAGGATTTTTGCATCTGTGTTATGAGAGATACTGATCTATAGATTTCCTATCTTGTAATATCTTTTTTCTGGTTTTAATATTAGTAGACTGACTTTTTTCATTTTTCTTCATTCTCATCTACTTTCGTTCATACATATTATCTGTGATTATAGCTGTATGAAAATGATACACATGTGCTGTTCTGAAAATAATATACATGTGCTGTTCTGTTTACTCACTTAAATTGTTAATCTCTAACATCCCTAGCAAAGCATTTTTTTTTATCATGTGTCATAATTTATGTTCCATGATTTTCATTTAACAATGGTTATATTTAAAATCATATTGAATTTTTGGGGTACCTGGGTGACTCACTCCGGTTGAGCATTGGACTCTTGGTTACGGCTCAGGTCATGATGTCTCAGGGTTGTGAGATTGAGCCCTCCAATAGGCTCCATGCTCAGCAGGGAGTCTGCTTGAGATTTTCTCCCTCTCCCTCTGCTCCTCCCCTGCTCCCCTGCTTGTGCTCTCTCTTTCTCTAAAAATAAGTAAATCTTTAAAAAGTAAAGTCCTATTGAATTTTAAAATGAAAAATGTCATTCAACTATTTACAGATAGTGGTTACATTCTGAAATTTATTTTGTGGGATAATAGTTACATTAAGATAACGGTAAGGAAATAACTTTATTTTCTTTTGGCCAAAAAGGGGAGGTGCTATAGCTCTTTTATATTTACACAGAAACTCTTACCTAGAAAAAATAATGGGGTCATATGCCTTGTCAATGGGGGGTCATCACAGATCAGGCCTTAGCTGGCAGTGTGGTGGCAATTTTGTTCTCACCCACCTCTCTCCTTTTATGGTCTCCATCTTCTCTCATATATTCTCATACATTATTACTTTCCCAATTTTTGTATGGGACAGAAAAATAAAGTTTAATATTTACTTATCCTGTAAACTTTATATTTCCTACTGTTAAGTTTTTAAACAGGTTAAAAAAATCTTGTTTATTTCTTTTTCTCATTCTTTTCTTTGGTCAATGTTTATACAAGTAAAAAGTTTTATGGGGTGTGACTACAGAGAATGATGGCAACATGGGAAATTTTAGGAGTTACAAAGTAGAAGTATAATAGGATAATTACTAAGATTTTTAACATAAAAGGCAACAAACTGTTCACATGTATGTCTGCTTTCTCACAGGCAGAGAATCCCCCTCATGGACCAGATTGCGGTTATGGTTCCTTTCACCAACAGTATTGGCTTGATGGAAGAATCATTGCTGTGGGGGTGATTGACATTCTTCCATACTGTGTATCGTCTGTATATTTGTACTACGATCCTGATTATTCATTCCTGTCTTTGGGTGTCTACTCTGCACTACGGTAAGATTACTTTTGACAGCTGTAATGAGTCATATGGAACTTCACATAATTGCTCATTTGATTATTAGTTCATCATATAACAGCAGAAATCCTATTTGATCGTCCATAATTTTGTTGCTATAGTAGTCTGTTATATATTGGTATTTAGGATACCACTTTCAGAACTGAGGCTAATATCTGATGGTAATTCCTAGCTTTTTAAGTTATCTACATCATCTAGTGTATGACAAGTCATTGTATTTGTGGGGTGCTTTTTTTGTTTATGCGTTTATTTAAGCTCCCCTATCAAGAACCACTTAATGTTACTTAAATATTATGGCATTGGCATATTTTTGTCCTTGTATATATTTTTTCATAATTAAAAGTTAAATGAATCTTATGTAAATTGAAGCAATGTGAGTCTGTTGAAAAGAATGTATAGTTATAGAAAGTATATAGAACCAGAATAGGAAGTCACTAACTGTACACTTACCTCTGTGGCTCTCATCAAAAGATTATTTCCTTTTTACATCCATGGCTGCAAATATATGCAGCACAGTACAGATAGTTTGCATTATCCTAATGGTAGAAAGATTAGGGCCTTATTGCATGAAAGTACTTAATTTTTATTCCTTCTTGTCTGTGTATATATGTGATAGAGAAGGAAGGGAAGGAGGGCTGAAAATTATTTTTTGGTTGCTCGTCTGAGAGCTTGAGTCTCTCTCTCTCATTCTCATGTTGTCATTGTTTTTTCTTTTCCTGGTCTTTGTCCGATGGTCATATTCTCACATCATGGGAAGATACACTCCCTCCATTTCTTAATTTCTTCAGCAATTGCACAATGAATATAGTTTTTGTATTTTAATTATAATTAATGTAGATTTGTATATAGCCTAGTCTGTAGGCTTAAAAAGTTTGAATTGGGGATCATGAGCATGGCATTTGTTTTGTTAGCAAGATGAATTTGAGAAATGAATTAATTTGTTTAACAGATGTTTGAGAAGAATCTATGTGTCCTGGACACAGTTCATAGAAATGAATAAAACGGACAGGGTTTCCAACTCTGTCAAAGCAGTAAGTTAGAAGACCAACATAATTTTAGGTACTCCATTATGCTGTGACAAAAATAAAATCACGGTGATAGGCATGAAGGTTTTTTTTGTATATAAGGTGGTCAGGAAAGACCTTTCTGAATAGGTGACATTTTAGAAGCCAAGAAAAAAAAAGGAGCCAACCATGTAAAAATCTAAGTGTAGAAGTATGGGTAGTACAACATCTGAGGTAGTTGGAATAAAGAGAAGATAGGTCCTGTGTGGCTAGGATATGGGGGAGGAAGTAGATAGGAGTTAGGCAGGGAAGGCAGAGATGCAGGTGGTACTGGTGAGAGCCTATGAAGCTGGGCTTGATAGGTCATGTTAGGGAGGTTAGATTTTATCTAAGTGTGATACCAACCCAGTTGGAAGGCAAAGGGTTTGGGGAGGTTATCTGATCTGATTAATATTGTAAGAAACGACTGAGACCACTCTGTGGGATTTATAGAGGAGCAAGTATGGAAACCAGAAAGCCAGTCAGGAAACTCTTGCTGTCATCAGGGGAGCCTTTATGCTAGCTTGGACCAGAATAGCTGAGGTGTGGAGGTAGTGAGAATGATCAGATTCAGGGTATACTTTGGAGATGGAGCCAGATGGACCTGTTGATGAATTGGATCTGGGATTGAGAGGAGAAGAATAGTTAAGGATGGCTCTAGGCTTGGGCCTAAACAACTAGGGGAGCAGAGTAGGAATGCAGGACCAAATAAAGGAGTGCCGTTTCAGTGGTGGGTGGTCCTGTGTTGGTTGTATCAGTGCATTTTTCCTCACTTTGAACCTTGAAACTGGTTTAGTTCTAGGAATTGTAGGAGTTATTCTGTTGTAGGCTAATAATGTTTAGTCTGCTTGGATTTAGAAATACTGTTATTTTACAGATGAATTTGTATGTAGGGTCACAACCCTTCAGTGACTTAAATTTGAACTTGAAAAATGCACAGACTATTGAGTTAAAAAATTTTCTCCTAGAGTTTCAAGCATACATTGGAAAGAAAGAAGGAAGGAAGGAGGGAGGGAGGGAGGGAGGAAGGAAGAAAAGAAAAAGAAAGAGGCCATCCTTCAAGGAACAAACATGAAAACAACAACTTTTCTTCCTACTCTAGAAATGTACTAAAGTTTCCTTAAAACTCTCAAGTACAAGCAGTCATTCATTTGGGCAAGCGGGTTAAAGTTCTGTGCCCAGATTTATCCAGGTGCTTATTAAAACCACTTCAAGCATGGGCATTGCTGACAGTATCTTTGTTGAGATAATCCTCCCCTATGCCAACAAATAGAGCAAAAATGGTGAGATAGCATAGTTTTTTCCCACTCTTTAGTTTTAGGGAGAATAAATATTAGAGTAGCATCTAGACATAGGCAGGAGTTATACATCATATACAGTTGCAAGTGTTTGCATGTAAATGGTCATAATAATAGTCATTCTTCCTGAAATATGTTGGGTTTTAAGTTTTATAAAACTTGCACTGTTTTTCACTTGATAAACCTAGTCCTTTAAGAGCTCCAGGGGATAACGAGAGTGTATTAAATAGATCTCTTTATTTTTATACTGTTTGAATTTTAGATCAACTAATATGCTCAAAGTATAGAATGTGAACTTAGATGCATTTGCTCAAAATAATTTAGAGTTGTGTCTTTTTAGTAAAAGCTATCGTTTTTTTTAAATTGTTTTTTTTACTTAGACTTTCTTAATAGCTTAATATTAGATTTTCAGCTTTTATCAGATATTTGATATTAAATTACATATACTTTGAGTGTTGAAACTAGATTTAACTGTACCTTCATCTTTTTTCTTTTGGCAGAGAAATTGGTTTTACTAGGCAACTTCATCAGAAAACATCTCAACTCAGCTATTATTATATGGGTTTCTACATTCATTCATGTCCCAAGATGAAATATAAGGTAAAGCTGATTTTACCACGTGTCTGCTCTAGATGCAGTTCATGAACATTTAGCTTTCATCGTTTCTCATCATATTAGTTTAACTTGCTTGTATATTTCCAATGTATATCATGAATTATTTTTAAATGTTTTAAACTTTTCATGGAATCTTGCTTGTTCATTGCCTAGGAAAGTATTGGACATATAGGCACTTAATATTTGCTTAGTACAGGTTAATCTATAGAAATTAACCAAATATAGAAATCCTAGCTATTCTAAACTATTCTAGAACATTCAGTAGGGCTCTGCTTACTTGGGGGTAGCATAGCACTACCTTGTCTGGGTGCATCCTAACCCATCCCCACCCTCCCATTTTTTTCTCCCTCCCTCCTGTTTTAGCTTTGTTTCCTTTGGACCCAGTCACAGTCCACAAAAACTGGAGCTCAATGTAAGCAGTGAGGTATTTTCAATAATAAAAAAAATAATAATGCAAATGTTTGTAAGATTTTCATTATAGAAAAATGCATCTTTAACCTGATTTTTGTCTCAGGGCATATAGGATTTGGGTTTTGAAAGGGAGATGAATGTATTAATTAAGGAAATCACTTTGCTGCCTCAGAAACAAAGCTTTCTATTGAGAACCACAGCCTTTGCTGTTCTTTGTAATTTGTCATATTACTGTGAGATTGAACTATATGTCAGAATTTCCTTTTAAAATGTTTTACCTTTTATGACTCTCTCTAATTAAACTTTGTACCTATTACCTAGCTTCAGCAATTCTCAGTTCCTTCGTACTTCATCTATTCTTCCATTCCCATTCCTTCCTCTATCATCTTTTGAATTATTTTGGAACAAATCCAGAACATCATTTTCTGTACGTATTTCAATGTGTATTTCTAAAGGATAAGAACATTTTGAAAACATAATCTCATCACCACACCTCAGAAACGTTAACAGTGTTTCTAAATATCCTCCTGTATCTAGTCAATGTTCATATTTTCTGGCTGTCTCATATTTTTTTACAGTTTGTTTGACTTAGAATCCAGACAGGGTCCATACATTTGGTTGATATGCGTTGTAAATCTTTTTAATCCACGAATTTCTCCTCCCTTCCCCCTACCCCATACAAATGAGTACTCCACAAAATTTAGTGATTAAATGGGAGAATGAACAAAAGTGGCTCCAGAGCATTGAGGTTAAGTGCTGAATGTCACGGGAAGGGACACTTCCAGTGTTCGAATCTGTGGATTCCAGGAGTAGAACTAGCTTTGAAAGAAGGGTTGATACACAGTACCTTGCTGATTTTATGCTGATACAGCCTAGGTCTTCTAATAGTCAAGGTGTCCTGCTGGGATTTAATCCCATATTTAAGTGCACAGTATAGGTAACTTGTGGATTTAATCCTTCATATATTTCTGTTACGCCTAAATTACTCATTTAGGTGATAGGTCTAAACATATATTCTCTGTGGAAGGAAAAGCATGAGCATACTTCTGTCTCCCAAAAATACCTGTTTGGTACTGTTTTTACTAGTATTCTGTTCTCCTAGCTCATATTGGTGGGACCACATCTAAATAAGTTCAGGGTAGGAAACTCAAGTACTCTTGATACTACGATATGGTATAATACTCAGGAAAACTCAAGCCACTCTATATATTCATCTTTCTTTGTATACTTGTGCATGACCCCTTCTAAATAGAAGCTTTTTTTTTTCAAAGATTTTGTTTATTTATTCATGTGAGACACAGAGAGAGAGGCAGAGACATATGCAGAGGGAGAAGCAGGCTCCCCACAGGGAGCACAATGTGGACCTCGATCCCAGGACCCCAGGATCACGCCCTGAGCCAAAGGCAAGACACTTAACCAACTGAGCCACCCAGGTGCCCCTAAACAAAAGCATTTTTATGCCAGTCCTAGGAACTTGCAGAAATTTGACTTTACTTTCCATCTGTAATGGCCACTCTAGTGTCCTAAGACTTTTCCCTCAGTGAGTTTTTCCTTATGTCTAAACCAAAATCTTAATTGCTCCATATTTTACCCTATTCTTTTGTTGTTGTTATCCATGGAGATGTTGACCGTATTTTCATCACCCCTTCCTTTGCATGAAGACTTTTTTTTTTTTAAGATTTTATTTATTTATCCATGACAGACACAGAGAGATGTAGAGAGAGAGAGAGGCAGAGACATGGGGAGAGGGAGAAGCAGGCTCCATGCAGGGAGCCCAACGTGGGACTCAGTCCTGGGATTCCAGGATCACACCCTGGGCTGAAGGCGGCGCTAAACTGCTGAGCCACCCGGGCTGCCCAGCATGAAGACTTTTTATGCCACCTTTGTTGACTCCAGTCCATACTAAATGCTATAGGTTCTTTTTCAGTCTCCTTCCTGGGTTAAGCCCTGCTCAAAAATAGAAGTCTGGCTCATATCGAGTTTTTAGTTAAGTATTTAAAAATGCTCTCCATACTGTTTAGTCAGTGTGGCTTAATCATACCCAACCAAAATTTGTCAGAATTATAGCTTCAGGATATTATTTTTTAACTTCCATTTGCATGACAAAAACCCCCAATGCCTACCCTGTTCTATTTTTCCTGTAATATTCATGTAATATTTATTTAGCTTCTCCTGGAAATTCAGCAATGAACAATACAGGCAAGGTGTCCCTAGTCTCAGCGACCTACAACAAGTTAATAAAGAAGACAAATAGATCAGAGTAAGCACTGGGTGGTGTGGTAAATACTTGCTAGGTGTAGCTCCTTTAGAGCAGGGTCAGGGAGAGCCTCTTAGAGGCATAATATTGAGGCTAAAATTTGATTGACAGGAAGCCAGCCAGTTGGAAGATAAGGGGTCATTTCAGGATGAGCTTGGAAACAGCCAATGCAGTGCTCCTTTCCTTTTGAGTTGCTGCTGTTTTCCATTTTGGCTATACTTCAGGATGACCCGAAGAACTTTTAAAAAATACCAATATGTGGACCCTACCTTCTGAGATTTTGATTCATTGGCTGGGGGCAAACCATGGGTGTCAAAATTTTTTTACACTCAGAAACTTCTAATGTGAAGTCAGGCTTAAGAACCACCTCACCAGATTAATTTTTCGCATCCGAGAGCCTAATAATAAACTGGAAAGATGATTATTTCTCATTTTAAAGTTGACTGTTTTCTGTTCAGTCAATTCGGAATTGAAGAAGCTCATATCTACACTTTGTTATCTGGGTCCTGGAACATTAAAGGCTGACCAGAGTCTTTCAGCTGGATTTTCCCACCTGCAGGCCTTTAACCTTACTGACTTCTTGTTTTACTCTCTGCCTTTACCCATTCTCCATGCTTGCAAACTCCTCCTCCCTCATTTCTCAGCCTAGGGGATCACTTGCTCCAGTAATCTATACTGGGCACTAAAGCTAGATTTGACCACTCGCCCCACCCCAGCTCCCTTAGCATTCTACGTTTCTTCCCAAAAATCAGGTCTTTCTTTGCATACATTTGTGAGACTCTCTTGACATTTATATTCATCATGTATGCCAAATACCTAAAAGTGTGCCTGCTGCACAGTAGATAATTTTAATATATATTTGTTGAATTAATGAGAAGAAATACCAGTGCTGAAGGGTTAAGAAACTCCTTGTTTAACAGGTTTTCACTGAATATGACTGGGACAGCTTATACTTTGCAAATAGTGTGACACACAGGCAGTTCTAACAATGATTCAATATCATGGAGTACTGACTGATAAGTACTGTGGTGTCATGGGGAGGTTGTGGCACTGGAGTGTGTTAACAGTTTGAAGGAGTTGCTTAACTACATCTGGTCTTGATTTTGCAGCTGTAAAATGGGAATGATGCAGAAATGAGATACATTGTGAGTTTTTTTTTTTTTTTTTAAAGTAAGCTCTATGCCCAATATGGGGCTTGAAGTCACGAACCTGAGATCAAGAGTGGTCTGCTGTAGGGCAGCCCTGGTGGCACAGCGGTTTAGCGCCGCCTGCAGCCCAGGGTGTGATCCTGGAGACCCTGGATCGAGTCCCATGTCAGGCTCCCTGCATGGAGCCTGCTTCTCCCTCTGCCCCTCTCTCTCTCTCTCTCTCTCTCTCTCTCTCTGTCTCTATGAATAAATAAATAAATAAAATCTTTTTTTTAAAGAGTTGTCTGCTTTACTAACAGCCAGCTAGGCACCCTGAGATCTATTGTGTTTTTATCTCAATTTGAGTATAGAATCTTCTTGCACTGACTAGTAGGATAGAATCTACCCAGTTGGGTAGCATGCACAAAATTGTTACCTGTGCTTATGTTGAGACCTGTCAAAGTTGTGTTTATATGCTGATAAATGGCACCCAAATTTCTAAGTGGCCTGCTTGTGCTATTAGCTACTCTTCTTAGTTTAGTTCAGATATTGGGGAAAAGCAGAGGTTTATGCTATTGTATACCAATACTGCCTCTCTTTATGAAAATTTGCAGAATTGTGGACACTTGTCTTTTGTTTGGAGGAAGGTAGGCACTGAACTCTATTGGGGTTGGTGTGCAAAATGGTAAACCTCTCCAGCATAATTTCTGTGTTATGCTGCAGGGTGTCTGTTGGTTTTGGCCTTGTCGATTTAGGGCAGAAAAAAGTCTGAGCTCAGATGTTGGTGGAATAAAATAACTATTTTGTTCTGTTTATAGATGTTTTCATTTCATCTAAGGATATTTTATTATATTTTTAGCAAATGAGAACCCTCAGTTATGAAGGAACAGCACAACTGCTTATAAAAGTGGGAATTCTCAATCAGATATGTGCTGTTCAAAATTGTAAGGTAGATATTGGCTCAAGCATAAATATTTCTCATTGCAATTTGAAGGTCTATAACTAGACACCAACAAAAGGTAACTCAGAAAATGAATCGCATGCTATTGTAAAATCTCTCATTTTCTAGATTCAGTGAGGGTAAATTTAGCATATAACTACAATAATAGTTAAAAGTGTATCTTCTTTCATGGAGCAGAACTAAGTATTTAAAGCATTAGTAATGGCGTATTTTTGCCACACTGTAAAAT